CACTCTTTCATACAAGGTCAGAAAAGCATAATACTAATTCTTTAGAAAGAGCCATTTCTTTTTTTTTAGGGATTTAGAGAGACAGACAAAGACATTATTGAATAGCCACGCACTTTTACAGTAACCGTAGAGATGTTTGAAAAGGCATAGTCAGTAAAAGAAGGACAGACCAGTGTGAAGCAAGGGTGAAATAGAACGGACTTTAGTATAACAACCTCAATAATAAGAGACTGTGTCTCCTTGTCTTCTGCAATCAGCTCGAATGTTTGATTCCAGACAGGATTCAGGTTGTTTTCAACGACCTTGGTTTTAACCTTGAACAGTGGCCTTATTTGCACAACAACGTATGGATCAGATTTCCCAATCATTTCCATGTTCTTCAAGTTGTTAGCTTTCACAATTGTTAAGGAAAGCTTTCCCTGCGGCTTAAGCTCCAATTCACTGTATAAAATCACAGATTAGTCAAATTTAAACATACGTATTTACAGATATGTGTGTGCAGCATAAAGCACCAGCATAAAAAAACATGCATATCCGTTTTTATTATGCATCCAACAGACACACATGTACATACGTAAATGCATGCACACGCAAACGTACAAACATGTAGGCATGTAGATCAGCTTAATATGTGAACATTAGCTTTATCACCTGCTTTAAACATGGAACATAAAGACTAGGGTATATATCCATTTATTAACCTTCCCAGCCAAAAGAAAAGGAATTTTCATTCATGCTATTGATTTCAGTTGTACTTTTTACTAATCAATGTAAAGATTAAGAACACAGGATCTTAGATTAAACTTGTGTTAGTAACTTTTGTCGTCTTCACTAAACCTATGAACGCGCTCATAAACTAAACGAGAAAGAATTAAGCCAAAAGCTTCAATCTCATCTCAGCGTGCTTGTTAACAAAACTGTAAGAAAAGCCAATATATTTCTGCCAGCCCACACTAGTAAAAGCTAATTTAGAAATGTCTCTGGGAATATACTAGAGAGAGAAGCAAGAAACATAAGATAATATACAAGTACATGTAATTCATTAATACCTTGTATCAACAGGAATACCACCAATTGGAACAACAATCCTGTGGGGCCACTGAAGCATATCCGTGACAATTGAATTGACAGTATCCTGACAAGTATTTGAAACAACAAAAAGTCTAAGAAACAAAATAAATCAATCAGAAATAATGACTAATCAATAGAAAAGCTTACATCTATCATATCTGAAATTCCAGGAATGGCAGTTAAGCTTCCACCAACAGCCTTTAGCGTATAATCAATTCTAGGTTTTGGCTGATTAAATGTATAAACGAATTAGTCACTTTAAAAAGTAATGCACACATAAAATATTTATCACTTCTACTTGTCCATTGAACGAAAGATATGGGTATATTATATAGAAACCATATTTGTGGAAAAAGAATTTGATAGAGCGCCCAATTTAGAGAGAGGGAGAGAGAGAGATGAAAGAAGACAGTGGAAGGAGTGACAAATACTTATGGATATGCAAACAGGCAAGAAACTCAGAACCTATAAGAGATACCTCGGAAAGCAGGGCAACAACAACTGCAGAAATACAAGGAATCTCTTCAGCAAGTTGGAAGATAACACGAACAACAGTAAAAACTTGAAGATCCTTCAACTGCAGCAGATTTTACCACAAAAATTCTCAATAAAAAGTCTACCCAAGAATGAGACATGGACAGTAGCATGCACTACCGTTAAACACAGAAGAAAACTGCTGAGATGCATAATTCAAAACTGTTTACGCAACAACCTGAATTGGAATTGAAGCAACAAGTGCAGCTTCCACACCCAATATGATGCTTGGATCACCACCCCACTTAAAATCAATGTCCATTATGATTTGACCTTTTTGAAGACTCTGGACACGGATTCCTGCATTGATATTTTGAGATGGACAAAATGCTTAAAAGAAACACTTGTAAATAAAATGAAAAAGTAAATTAGTGGATACAGAAATGCATATTCCATAAAGAACCTACAACAACAAAAATGGCAAGAACAGAAATTGATAGAAAGTAGGAAGTAGCTTGATGAACTTGAATTGGAGGAAAAAGCAATATTTTCTAATTATGCAAAAATAATTCAGGAGGGATAGGATACATCAACAGTCAAACATTAAAATGAAAAAGTAAATCAGCGGGTACAGAAATTCATATTCACATAAAGAAACTACAACACATAAATGGCAAGAACAGGAAATTGATAAAAAGTAGGAAGTGGCTTGATAAACTTTGGACTGGTGGAAAAAGCTATCTTCTAATTATGCAAAATAAATTCAGAAGGGATAGGATACATCAACAGTCAAATACTAAAATGAAAAAGTAAATCAGTGGGCACAAAAATCCATATTCACATAAAGAAACTACAACACATAAATGGCAAGAACAGGAAATTGATAGAAAGTAGGAAGTAGCTCGATAAACTTTGGACCAGGGAAAAAGCAATATATTCTAATTATGCAAAATAAATTCAGGAGGGGTAGGATACATCAACGGCCAAACATTCAATGCTTCATATTTTATCTGACTAAACGACTAAAAGTCTAAGATTCATACACAAATCTTATATTGCAACAAGACCCATTAAGGCCAGTTAATAATGAATTTTAAAAGGAACTTTCATTCAACTGAAACTTGGGAGCCAGTTACATCTTTCAAAAGTGGGAGCAGGTTGACTTAGCATGATGGGGAATTGCAAAAGATTATAGAAGTCAAATCACTTGGACAACCTACTTCAAGCTAAAACCTCAAGTCACCATTAAATTACATTCATGAAAAGTGTATCAAAACAATAAAGTTGTATTACACAAGATTAGTGCAGTCAGAACAACTAGGGATGAGGAGATAGAAGAGAACAGAACTAGTGATTGATTTATACCTTCAATTTTCGGTGCTACAGTACCCAGAGACAATTTGCTGAATTTTAATGAAGTAATTCCTGGAGGTCGGTATTCTTCCAATAGTGGTTCAACAGATTCTTTTATCACCAATTCTGCTGCCTGAGAATGAACAACTCCAATTTTATTTGTGTATTTCAATCTCCTTTTGTTAATATCACTTCACCGAAAAGAATGTATTCAGATCTCATGATCTAATCTCTACAACCAGTGTATAGATAGTCAAAGTTACTGCATCTCTTTATTGTTTTCAGTAATAGATAAAATAAAATTCTTCTATCATGTATTTATGAAATTTGCGACCTGGAAGAAGTAAAATTTCAGAAAAAATGAATAAACTATCATGAAATTCGAAGTCAACTTG